CAACTGTCTCACTTATTCAGAGGGCCTAGTCCAGTTCCATGGGGGCTCCTCAGCTATTGGTTCACAGTTCATGCATTTCCACTAGTTTGGCTATTTGTTTCGATATCTCTTGCTCATATAATCCCTCCTCTCTCTTGTCGATTGGACTCCTGGAGCTCCACCTGGGGCTTGGCCATTAATCTCTGCATCTACTTCCATCAGGGACTGGAGAGATGGCTCAGAGGTTAAGAGCATTGGCTGCTCTTCCAGAGGACCTAGTTCAATTCCCAGCACCCACATGGTGACTCACAGCCATCTATAACGAGATCTGGTGCCCTCTTCTGGCCTGCAGGCATACATGCAAGCAGAACGCTGTGTACATAATCAATGAAGACTGCTCTCTTTCAATAAAGAGAGTAAGAGCAATCTACTTTTGACCATTTACCTATGAAAAGAAATGTAGAAAAAAAGGTCTCTAAGAAATGGCAAGAGATGTTGAATCATGGACCTAATTATACATTAAGGTGGAAAACAATGCTACTTAAAAATAATTAATGAAAAATTAATTATATATAACTAAGTTTGTCACAGTATCTATGACTTCATTTCAGTAGGAAAAAAGTGAGCTAAAAGTCAAATACCAAGAGGGCCAGTCAGTCCACAACTGTATTCATATTTAATTGTGTAAGAGTTAGCAAAACCAAATAAAGTAACAATTCTATGACTTGTCTTCCATGTAGCATAACGAGCATATAGAGCAAAAATCATGAAACAAATATATTTATGTGCATGCTATATCAGTCAATTGATGAGTTGAGCTATCAATCCACTCATTCATCTATCCAGATATAATTACCTCACCTGAGGACTAACATCTATGCGTTAACATCTGTTTTACACATAAAAATACATAAAAAGGGGTTGGAGAGCTGATTCATCAATTAAGAGCGCATACTGCTCTTATAGAGTTTGGCCTCCAGCACCCACATTAGACAGATCACAACTGCCTATAACTCCAGCTCCAGGGCTCTGATACCTCTTGTAGCTTCCATGAGCACTTGTACATACATGGCACACACAAACACACAAAGATATGCACACAATTAAAAATAAGGGGCTGGAGAGACTGCTCAGTGGTCAAGAATACTTGATTTTCATGCAGAGGATTCAGGACTCACAACCATGTATAATTCCAGTTCAGGTGACCCAGTGTCTGACCTAAAAAGGCATCTGGCACACATCTGGTGCACATATATACATGTAGGCAAAACATTCACACATGTAAAAAAAAATCTTTTAAAATAAGTCTTTAAAAAAGACATTAAAAGCCGGGCGTTGGTGGCGCACGCCTTTAATCCCAGCACTCGGGAGGCAGAGCCAGGCGGATCTCTGTGAGTTCGAGGCCAGCCTGGGCTACCAAGTGAGCTCCAGGAAAGGCGCAAAGCTACACAGAGAAACCCTGTCTCGAAAAACCAAAAAAAAAAAAAAAAAAAAAAAAAAAAAAAAAAAAAAAAAAGACATTAAAAGACCATAAATAAACTGGGCATAGTGGCACATGGGGGGCAGAGGCAGGTGGATATCTGAGTTCAAGGCCAACCTGGGCTATATAGTAAGCTCTAGGATATCCAGGACTACATGGAGAAACCCTATCTCAAAAAACAAAACAAAACAAAAATCCATGAATAACCTATTAACATAATACAAAATTGACAATATATACATTTCTAGATAGGTAGATATAGATAGATAATGGTTGTTTATGGAAAACGTAGGTATGCTAGGGACCTTAAAACTTAGAACCCTTCTGTAGTTCCAGTTTGCAAGGAAAGTCCTATTCTCATCATTTTAAGTCACATTTCTGAAAGTGCCATTCTGTGGTGATATTTTATATGTGCACCCCAATAAAACTTATCTGGGGATTGGAGAACAGAGCCAGCCACCAAATTAGACATAGAGGTCAGGTGTGGTGGCACACACCTTTAATCCCAGCACTTGAGATCTCATGCCTTTGCCACCAAGTGGGAAGCACACATGCCTTTAATCACAGCACTAGGAAGGAAGAAAGGTGGCAGGGCACAGAAAGGTATGTAAGGCGTGAGTAAACAGGAAGTCTCGCGCTAGAGGCTGAGGAGTTGGTAAAGTGAGGTTGGCTGTGGCTTGTTCTGTTTCTCTGATCTTCCAGCTTTCACCCCAATATGTGGCTCTGTTTTTTTTTTTTAATTTTTTTTTTATTAATAAGACCATTTTAAGATTTGTCTTACATCTGGCGTTCAAGTGGAAGAGATTTGTCTGGACCTCTGAAACTTCTGTCTACACCATTCTCTTACCTTGCAGTCATCTGAGAGGACTTTAGGTTCAAGTAGAGTGTTTTCTCCAAAAATCTGACCATTCCATCCTTTGAAACTAATCGGCAATCCTGGGCCATCTGCTTGTGTGCTTGTCCACCTTGGGGTGCTTAGACAGTGAACGGTGATAATGTGGGTGGCTTCTGAGCTCAGCAAATGAAGAAAGTTCATCTGTACCTTGCCAACTCCAAACTCCAACTGGTGTCATAGAAATAAGAGTCATGTTATAAACATGATGATACAGGGAATTTCAAGGAAGGGCAGCCTGAGAAATCTGAAATTTAAATGCCAATAGGTGGAATGCTGGCAAAGGTTTACTCATTGGTTCCTGGTGGTGGTGGTGGTGGTGGTGGTGGTGGTGGTGGTGGTGGTGGTGGTGATGTGTGTACATGTGTGATCTCTGATTCTGATTATAAGGGTAGAAACACTGCTGTCAGACTACCAAGGTGATGCCAGTGGGCATGGACTGAGAAAGGATGTTGACAACAGGTTTTTTTTGAGTCTGTGTGAACTGGCTGCAACATATCATTAGGCTACTACATACAATAGTCTAATAAAATAATTTTATAGTGTTATTTGCAATACAGTAATAATTGTTATTTTCTTGGCATAATGCTATAATCTGTTTTTTCATGAAAGTCTTCATTTGAGATTACTTTTGTGTGAATTTCATAAGATATGTTACAAGTTTGGAAAAATAATTTGGTTGAGTAATTTTAATTTTTGGTCAAATCCTAAGGTAATTGCAAACTGAGTCAGCAAGAAATGTTTACTAAGGGAATGTATACATGAACCAGCCTTAACTAATAGCATGTACAGTACAGGGGAAAACAGGAATTAGCAAGTCTGACTATACATTCCCATATTTGGAAAGGGGAGTAAATGTTTCTGTAGCCCCACACAACACTACCACTATCACCATCATAATCATCATCATGATTACCATGGTCATTATCATTGTCAGCATAATAATCATCATAATCATCATCAATATTACCACCACCACTACCACCACCATCATTGTCAATACCACTACCACCACCATCATTGTCAATACCACCACCACCACCACCACCATCATCATTACCACCACCACCACCACCATCATCATTACCACCACCATCCATCATCATTGTCCACCACCACCACCATCATCAACATTGTCACTACCACCACCATCATCATCATTGTCAACACCACCACCACCACCATCATCATCATCATTGTCAAGACCATTACCACCATCACCATCATTTTCAAGACCACCACCACCATCATCATTGTCACCACAACCATCATCATCATCATCATCATCATTGTCAACACCACCACCACCACCATCATTGTCAACACCACCACCACTACTACCACCCTCATCATCATTGTCAACACATATTTCCATATCGAGTCAGGTATGTATAGAATACCAGCCTTCCCCAGCCTTGGTTACCTTGTTGATAAACTGGGGTTATAACACCCACTTTGTGGGTCTGCTAAGAGCCTTAACTTGGTAGATTATGACAATTTTCTAATTGTCAGGCACTAAACAATTATTTTTCAAAATTTTGACTGTAACTATCTTAGAATATGTCTATTAATTGTTTTGATTATGGTATTACTAGTTTTACTATTCAACATTAGTAAATTTTCACACTAAAAGCACAAAATAAAACAGCAAAGGTGATTATCCACTCTCAGCCACAGAGTAGAGCAAGCCCTCCAGTAGCCTGTGGTTTCACTCCCCAAGGAGCTGCTCTTCACACACATTTCTGATTTCTGGTCTTTCTATTACCTACCAATGGGAGAATTGATTTAGTCATGGAAGAAACTAGCACATTGTTCTTACTGCTTCTATCTGGTTTGTTCAAAATTTCCCTTCTTTTGTCTCCTTTCTACAAAATCTTCAGGCAACTCCCAGGGCATTGAGGATTAGAATATGGATGCATGTTTTATACAGAGAACTGTTGTGTTCTTCATTTAGAGATACGTGGGTCCCCTAGGGATGGAGCAGTCCTCCTTCCTCTGTTACGGTGAAGAGTGGTGAATGTCCACTGACTGAGATTGCACAGTAGAAAGCCCTGCTCCGTGAAGGAGAACAACTCATTGAGAACCAGCTGCTCACTGTGCCTTTAAGCCTTCTTAAGATGGAGAAAACACATGATAGGCATGTGCCAGCTCTTTGCCTATGAGAAAATGGCAAAGCCAGTTTAATCAGAAAAAGAAAGAAGTACAATTTTTATTTCAAGATGTTATAAACAGAACTGAGCTTTGGGTTTTTAAAATACTTGTAACTGTCACTGTTGTATGAAACTAATCTACATTTATTCTAAATAGTGTGTTTTCAGACTTAGTCTCAAAATGTTTAAATAATATTCAGTGAATGTTTGTTCTAAGTCAATCATATAAACCAGCAAGCTTCTGTAGCAAAATTCTCTTAATGATGATGCAATTTTCAACAAAGCTGTAGGTAATGGATTGCTGATCAGAACAGTGCAGCTGATCAGAGGTTTTCTAAGGTCTGTGCAGGTTTGAAAACACAGCTCCATACTGTGCAAGCTTTAGGGAATGTAAGAAACAAGATCCATGGAATATACCACACTGAACCAATCATAAGGCACCCAGTCAAACTTTCAAGATTTATGGCAGTTAACTTTTTTTTTTTAACAGTGAGAACTGGAGAGATGGCTTAGCGGTTAAGAGCAATTGATGCTATTGCAGAGGACCTGGGTTCAATTTCCAGCACCCAGGTGGCTCACAACCATTCATACCTTCAGTTCTAAGGAATCTGATGTCCTCCTTGACTTCTCCAGGGACCAGGTATGTACATATTGCACACACATATATGCAGGCAAACACTTCTTACATATAACAAAAATAGATCTTTAAAAATATTTTTAACAATGAAAGTATTTCTCATATATGATAGAGAATGAAGGGTAAAGGGCACATTTTAATTTTATTCTTAAAAACCCACAATTATATGACAGAGTTTTTTTTTAAATCCTTGTTTATGAATACTCTACCGTACACAAGCACATGTCCTAAAATTCGGTACACACCTTTGTCACAGAAACAGGAGATAAACATGTTTGGCCACCAGCACTAAAATTGCAGAAAACCTCAAAGGCATCCGAAGAGCATCCAAGATTTGGATCAATCCAGTATTTTCCTGTTAATTTATAACAAAACCACAAGGTTATTTCAACACTCTACAAAAATTGCATGGACTTATATATTGTGACAGCTAAGAATGAAAACTCCTGAAAAGAATCTATGTTGGCAGAGACTAATTGGCTGATCAGAAGTTCAGTACTGGGGAGAGACTGGAATGTTGTAGGCCCAGAGGCTAATTACCTAGTCTTGGGCTAGTTCTAGGGTCCCCTAGAACAGTTATTGCCTGCTCACATCTGTTTCTGGACTACCACCTTGTGACTAATAGATAGAAACCTTTTAGAATCTATTGATTTAGCAGACCATTAGCTTCCACTGTTCCAAAGCTAAGAATGTCACCAGATAGCATCTTGGGCCTATGTAAAAGCTTCACCCATCTCACCGTAACCGCCTCTGTGATGTACCTACCAGTGTATTTAATTTGCCTTGATTTATATCTTTCTGTGTTGTGTACTTCATAAAACCACTTCCACACATTGGAACGTGGAATTTGGGGTAACTTAAATCTGTGTTTCTGAGCCATAGTCGCTCAAAATGGCCCTAAAAGAAACTGTCTCTTATTCCCCTTAAGATAAGAGCTATGGTTTTTATATACATGTTGACATATCACAATTTTATCTGTTAAAATACATAGCTGGTTGTAAACACCTATGTTTAGCGAGTGAATGAAGGCTACATGCACGTAAAATTGTTACCCAGAACTGTATTTTCAAGAGCCTATCAATATGAAAAGCATTTCGTAATTTTAACCAAAATGATAGATAGACTGAGTTCACTGCTTTGGATTATGGATAAGTAGGTGTTGGTTAAGGCCTTCCTGTGAGATGGCTCAGTGGACAGAGGTGCTTACCACTAAGCTTCATGACCTGACTTTGGTCCCTGGGACTCCCATGGTGGAAGGAGAGAACTGACTTCTGCAAGTTGCCCTATGATCTCTGCATACTCACTGCGGCATGTGTGTACCCACACAAAATAAATGAATGTTAAAAAAAATTTAAAAAGGAAAAGGTCAACTAGAAGAGAATTATCTGAAGTTACACAATTATTATTAAAGTTGTAGTTAATGTATATTTCTGGTCTAAATTATTTATAGAGTTTAAAATGGAGATTTCATTTCAATAGAAATGATTTCAACCTAGCTGAAGAAAATAATAGTGATGAGTAAAAATAATAAAATTGGGCCGGAGAGATGGCTCTGAGGTTAAGAGCACTTGCTGCTCCTACAGAGGACACAGATTTTATTCCTAGCCTCTACATGGCAGCTCACAGCTGTCTTGTTATTCCAGAAGATTCAGTGCTCTCTTCTGGCCTCCCCAGGCTCTGCTGCCCACCTGTGGTGCACATGCACACATGCAGACAAAATTAAATTCTATTTTATTCTCAGAAAGAGAAATACGCAATTAAACAGTGACTATGTTTGTGTTCTTCCCTTCAGAGCTGGAAGTGGGCAGGACTGAAGTCTCTATACCTCGTTCCTGCCAGCCAATCTATAGCTAAAGTGAGGGGCAGAGAATAGAATGGTTGTTTAGGAAATGCTCAGCTTGAAAGGCATGTAGTAGCCTCCTGATTCCAATGACAGAATATTCAAATAGCATCTGATTCCAAAAACAGGAACAGGAGCTTTGGAATCATGTGCTTCAGCTTTATTGCGTTAAGAAAACAAGGCTGTCAAATAATTTTTTTTTATCAAGTGTCATTTTCTACCGCAGGCTGAGATTATGTTCCTTTCTACCTTAGAGAATCCTCTAGCTCATCCCGAGTTTCCCCTGCCTCCCAAACACCCTTCAATCTTGTCCCTCCACCCTTCTAACATGCCCACAGACACATATTTGCTGAACTGGTAGTTCAAAGGCAAGGGCTGTACTCAGCGAGGGTGACTTTCAAACTGCAGTGAGCACAACCCATCTTAGTGGCTCCACCCAGCAGAGCTGCTGGTTCATGAAGTCCTGGGCGCGGCTTGAGAATCTGCATTTCAAATAAAAATCTAATTGTCGTCCAGGGACCATGTTTGGAGAACTCATTTTTTGACAAAGAAGGAAAGAGTGAAGGACTTTTGCCTTCATCAGATTCCTTCAGAATCCTCAATATTTTATACATCCGTAGAATTCATAGCTGATTTCTCACCGGAATCCCATACAGACTTCCAGTTTTATCCAAGGGAGTAAATGCACACCCTCATCCATCATCTCTTCAATTTCAAGAAAATTTTTCCTACTACTGTGTGAGATATTTTTGTATAGATGAAAGTTGTTCCTTCAAGCTTTCATCCTCTGTGTGGTGGCATGCTTTGAATTCAGGTACCGTGTTGCACAATGGGGATCTGGCAGGAGATTCATGGTAATATGAGA